ATAAAAAGTAAACTTGTTTAATGGATTGCTTAATAAACAAAAATATATATTATTTTGGTTTTTGAATAATCATAGAATATACCACTTATATACATAATTATGTAAAAAATATACTATTGAAAATTATGTTAAAACGTATACAAAGTAACATAAAATTCATGTATTATATTATTATATTCGTAAAATTTATAAAACTAATTAATTTAAGATATTCGGAAAATTTACGAAGCTCGATAATTAATTTATACCGACGCGGGTCAAAATTGGGTGTCAACATTTAGCAGTTGAGATTCTTTCAAGATCTTTAAACAACTTGAACAATGATAATAATTTTATTCCATTCTCTATGAACAAGAGAGGTCTTCAAATAAATCATCTGCCTCATGCAAATGACATTTTCATTTTCTCAGGTGGTAGGTCTAAAACTGTCAAGATGGTTTTGAAGAAAATCAAAAGATACAAAAAGGCTTCAGGTCAAAAAGTTAATGAAGATAAGAGTTTCTTTCTTGTAGGCTCCAAGACTAGTCCCTACAAAATCAATAGGTTGAGTCAATTTACAGAATTTATGGACAACTCTTTTTCTTTTTTATTTGTGTTGTCCACTATACTCTAGAAGAAAGAAAGTGGAGTATTTTGATGGCATGGCTTCAAAAGTGGTCAAGAGACAGAATGGTTGGCAAGGAAAGATTCTCACTGCTGGGGGAAGAGCAGTACTTATAAAAAGTTTCCTTCAGTCTCTTCCCACTTATATTATGTCTGCACTAAACTCTCCTAAAGGTACTCTAAACACCATTGAGAAACAAATGGAGAGGTTTTATTCGGGGTCTTCAAATGAAAGAAGGAAGTATCATTAGAGCTCTTGGACTAACTTATGTTGTCCTAAAGAGGAAGGTGGTATAAATATTAAAAGATCAGTTGATATCTCTAACACCCTCGCTATCAAAAGGTGGTGGAGACTAAGAACTAAAAACTCTTTTTGGGCTGATCTTTTGAAGAAAAAGTATTGTGCTTATAAACATATTGCTCAAAATAAATGGAACTGTGTTAACTCTTACAAATGGAAAAGTCTTGTTTGGTCATGAAATATAGCAGAAAATCACATCAAATGGAACATCAACAGTGGTAATATCAATTTTTGGATCTCAAAGGTGAATAAAACCCATACCTTAATGTTTCTCAATAATTTGATGAAGAATCCATCCTTTTCCAGCCCCCAATTCACCTTCCAAGCTAAGCTTCTATGGAGTCTTCCAATTAGAGAGAGAAAAAAGAAGGAAGAGAGTTTATTTTGAGAGTTTCTTTAGATAATGAGGGTTGAGGGTATTTATAGTGGGACTAAATCAACTTAATTAGTCTTTCTTTAATCCCTAATTACCTTTAAACCACTTAATTAATCAAATGAATTTAATTTAAAACGTGGAGGAATTTGCAGACCCCGTCTACGAGACCTCGATCGACGGATCGTTGGTTCAACGATGGTACGTGCTGCACATTCGTACGTCCGGTCAGAGACTGGTGCAGGCAAGGCTTTTCTCCAATTTTCTATGTGTGGGACGATGGTGTCATCGACTCCCCGCGATCCACACACAGACCGTAGCCTGCACCTCCGCACTCCGTCGATGATTCCAGAAACTATGCAAGTGAAGGGACCTTCTCTACCAGCCTAAGTGTGGGACAACAGTGGCATCGACGCCCCATTGATATGCTCAAACTTACTTCTCAAATAAGAATTAAAGCGGTCGTGTCAAGTAAATAACCCAACTAATGAGGTTGGGATCGTTCCCATGAGGAAAATAGTTTAGACTTAACTTCAATCTATTATTAATATTGTTTAGTCAATTACTTCCTTGGAAAACAAAAATGATAAAAGAGGGGTTTTCTATTTCTAAATAAATGAAAAAAAACTAGAGAAATTGAAGGAGACAACTAACATCTTCAAATGTTGGGGTTTAATCAATGAATAAAAGTTACTAAGGTTTACGTGTTCCCAACAGGTTCATAACTTGATAATTCTAACTATAACAATTCTTTCCTAGTATCTTACATGCAAATTGATAAGTTACGTATTTCTAAATCCTTGGTCCGGCATCTACAAAATTTCACTCCGCACCTTGGTCCGGCTACGTGTGTTTCTATACTAACCCTTATTTTACCTCATATTAAGCATTGTATTCGATATTTGACTAAGCTATTACCTCGTACCAATCAATACTAGGCTATTAGATAGTATAAACTAAATCTATGTTGATAATTCTTTTCCTATTATCTACCTCCTTGGCCCGGCAAGTAGCATTAAGGCGAGTTCTAACGTTGGCCATCCGTTAAAAAGACTTCTAAGCGCAAGAATTATCAATACATGCAAGACACTATTCTAGAATTTTTATTTTAGTTAGGTTTTACCTCATTATTCGCCTATGGTTCCCACAACCCTAGTTATGGAGTTTAGTTACCCATAGTCATAATCACAATATTCAAATATATGATATAAGAATTCATGCACTTACTTCAATGAGAAAGAGTAAAATCCAAAAGTTCACTTGATTGATCCACAAAATTCACCAACAATCAACTACAAAAGTCTAAAATATTCAAGAGTCTACCAAAGAGTCTAAAAAAATAATCCAGGGTCTAACCTCAAAAACGAGGTTTTTCGAACTATTTATAAAAAAATAAAAACCTAATTAAATAAGGACTCTATTTGCTGGAAATCTGTCAAAACGCGGCTGGATCGACGGACCTCGCGACGGATCGTCGTGGTCACGATGGACCGTCATGGACTCCGTCGTCCCATACTTGTGCAATTTCTTCTGCTTCTCTTTTCATTACCTTCGACGGCAGGTATGACGGATCGTCACAGGCACAACGGTCCATCGAGGGTCTCCGTTCCAAAACACTTGAACTCTTGGAAGTTGGGTACTGGGACTATTTCTCTGATCTTCATGACGACCCAGCAGGACGGACCGTCATGGCTACGACGGTCCGTTACGCACTCCGTAACTCCACTTTTGGTCAGACTTCCCCATCTTCCTTCAGCAGCTGCACTACGATGCCACATACAGACCGTCACGAGCATAACGGTCCGTCACAAGCTCCGTAGGTGGTACTTTTCTGTATTTCTTGCTCAAAAACCTCCGCATTCATCTTTTAGACAGATTTCCTGCAAATAAAGAGAAACTTACATAAAAATTAGCACCAAAAGGCTTTTGGACACACTAAACTTAAGGAAAAAGTATTAATAATACCGTGAAACCACGGTATATCACCCATCAATCCACACACAGGTCGTCTCGTCTGTCCCGTCGGTGCATACTGCTAGTCAATGCTGCATCAAACTGCAGGGGTCCTCCTCAAGGGGCCTTAGTTAGACCTTGGAGAGTCGTACCCTGACATTTCAACAACGAAATAACTCAAACACCTATTAGCTACCTTTCCACCAATGTCCGTACAATTTTGACTCCTAAAACTTAGTCAAGTAGTCTAAGGCATACTATTGTCCCTTTAAACCAACTTCCCGGACGTTCTGAACGTTTTGGTTCTTAAATATCCTAAATGACCTATATTTATTAAAAATGGACTTAGAAAAATTGTTTAGACTTTATGACACCTATGTTAGGTTTTACAATGGGTCTTGAATTTTCAAGGTGTTACAATATATGGCAAGAAAGATCGGGAGAAGGAGGAGAGATGTGATAGAGACTGGGAGAGAGATGAGAGAGGTGAGCGAGAGAGGGCAGAGAGTGGGAGAGAGGTGAATTGTATGTGTATATAATTGTATATTATACATATAAATTTGTATAAATGGCAAGCAAGAATGAGAGAGAGAGAGGAGAGAGTCGAGAGAGATTGAGGGAGGGAGGAGAAAGACGAGCGAGAGAGGGAATAGAGTGAGAGAGGGGTGAATTGTATATGTATATAGGTTAAAAAATTGCATATTATACATATGTATTTGTATATCCTGACAAATTATACATATATAAACATGAGTAATTATACAAAGCCCACATAATTAATGTATAATGTTAGTCACGACGGATAATTATAGCAAATTATAGATATAATGAGTAATTAAATAGTATAAATTTGCTTAGCCACATTTTTTTGGAAAAATTATATATAATAGCAAACTAATAACCTAAAATAAATGGAGTAGCTAGGCTTTGATTTAATTGTGCTCCTTAGCAAATGTTTGCAAAAAATTTTCAGGCGCCTCTCTCCCAGATATCTCGCTCGCCACTCTTCTCCAATCTCTCGCTCGCTTCCTCACTTTTTGTACAAACATAAGTGTATAAAAATTATTTCTAATTGTGTAAAGTAGAGAAAATTGTATAAATACATATATTTTTGTTTCCCTCTCTCCCCTCTTTCAGATCTCTCTCGCCACTCTCCCAAATCTCGCTCGCCACCCTCGCCTTTCTCACTAATACAAACTAAAGCGAAATATATAAATTGCGTTTCTGTTTCTGTATAGCGTGAGAAAATTGTATATACACATGCAAGTACATATATTTCGTCCTATACACTTATAATTATACAATAAAAATACTTCCCTACCCAGTTTCTTTTGCCTTTCTCTCTTTTTCGTTTTATACAATTTTCAAATTGTATCTAATCTCGTTCTCGTTTTATACGATTCGATTCAATTGTATATTCCTTGTCAAGTCTTTTTGTCTTTCTCTCTTTCTCATTTTATACAAATTCAAATTGTATATAATCGTTCTATACACTTATAATTATACAATTCATTTTATACACTTCATTTTTATACAGTTCTCTACCAAGTGTCTTTCTCTTTCTTGTTTTATACAATTTGCTTTTCAATTGTGTATGTATAGTGAATTATACAATTTTTATGTTTACTATGTAGCGCAATTGTGTAAACTTCTCTATAACATACAAATATAAATTTTTTATTTGTTTTATATGAAATTTGTCTTTTTTTTCTAACCATTTCCCAGGCCCAATTCTCAACCAACCGAGCCCAATCCAAACTCCAAAAAGACCCACAACAATACAATACAATACAAACATACGTACGCGTACAACCAAACACACTCCGTAGGCCCGTACTCTGTCTCCTCCTTCGCAAAGCAAATCAGACACGAATGAACCCAGGTGCGACCGGAACCCAGTGACTTTGCAGCTGCGTCGTCTTCTCCCTCTATCCCCTACCCTCTCCGTACCAGAAGATTCTCGAATCGGGACAGGTGGAGCAATTTCACAGCTTCTTCGTATTACTCACGAGTCAAACGATCCTCCATTCAATTCTTTTCGAATTAGTACGATTCCAGAATTTTCAGGGTTCGCAGATTGATTTGGAGCACTATTTTTCTCATAATCTCAGGCCTATATAAACTAAAGAAAAGGCTTCTGGACCTGAACTTTTCTGATCCAGGAAGCTTAGCTGAACTTTTCATTCTCTAGTTGATTCGGAGTTTTCCTTTCAGCAAAGTGGAATCGCTTTTTTTGCTAGCAGTAATATTTATGTCTTAAATCTCTTCTCTAAAAAAGATTAAATCAGTATCCAGGTCACTCGACTGTGCGGCAGGGGTTTTCACACAGGAAATGTTAGTTTTTATGGGGATATAACATGAACATCCCTAGTTTAAGTATTATGTTGATAAATTGTGGATAGTTAAGATGGGTTATTAACTCTTGTATGTGTGCGCCGAGTTTGTGGAGAAATTAGGGTTCGGCAGTGGTTATTGGTTCGTAGATTTTTTTTTTGAATTAATAATCCATATAAGCTGAAGATGGAGAATATGGTGTATGCGGAGGAGCTTGTGAAGGAGTTTCTAGTATTCAGAGGCTTTACAAACACTCTGCAGGCTTTTGTCAAAGAGTTGGGAACTGATATTGGCAAAGGATTTCAAGTTGATAAGATATTAGATTTAGTTTTCTCCATTTATATCCCCAAATTCCAAGCTGAAAACCTCATTCAACTCCTGCGCTTTTTCAGCAACTGCTTTTCTTCTCACGAGACACATCTTATTTCTGTCATATCTGAGTTAGATATCTCTATTATACGGTATTATATTATTCATGCCATACAAGCTGGAAGAAAGGATAAAGTCATAGAGTTGTTTGACATACATGGCACTGAATTGCTGCAAAAAGACCAACATTGGGCATCCTGGTTTGGTTGGTACCATCTGTCTCTTCTTATTTATCTCTTAAAATTAAATGATGAAATTTTCTTGACGTCTAATCATTTCATGCAGCAATTCCATATATTAAAGCTCCTCAATCCGAACCCAAGTTCCGGGTATACTTTTCCAAGGAGTGGTCCAATGCATTGCATCTATCTTTTAGAAATTTTCTCACCAAGATGTTTAATGGCACTCATATCCTTAACTATATATTCTCTCATTTTATTTGTTCTTGTTATCGTTTAAATATTCTTGCTTTCAATCATGCAAATTAATTTCAAGCAGTTGCTCTATAAGTGAGATTATTTATGCTTCTTTGGTGTTTAGAGGAGACCATCTTTTACATTTAGTTTCTGGTGCTTTACTTCCAGGCATATGGGAAACAAAGATGCTAAGACCTTTACAAATTTTGTTGAGGGAATCAGTTTATAGTAAAAGAAGATAAATGTCTATATGTCTCCTATGAAGACGAATTATATGTTTGAAGGTATGTAATGTTTTCTTGAAAAAAATGTGCCAATAAGATTGTAGTAAAAGCAAATACACATTGCTTTTCACCATATGATAATAAGTTAAATGTAAATAATGAGAAAAGAATGAGATATTTGAAATGAATTACTTGATTATTGCCTCAAGCATGTTGTGGTTCAAATATTGTTTACACCTAAAGAGGAACAAAATGTAATCCTAAAAGGGAGGAAAGTATTTCCTATTTGTAGTTACACAATTATAAGAATTCTTACCCTTTTCCTTTTTTAAAAAGAATGGGCTCTTCTAAATGTTTAACATTTTCTTAATTCTTAACACTCCCCCTCAAGTTGGGGCATACACATTTTATGCTCTTGACTTGCCTCAAATATACTCAATTCTGGAGCAGTGGATTGACTTTGTAAGTATATTTGCCAATTGGATCATTCAAGTTGATAAAACTTGTAGTAATGCACCCCAACTCTTGTCGGATGAAATAACAAATTTTTTCTATTTACTTCATTCTCTCATGAAACACTAAGCTAAAAACGTTTGTATTGCAACCTGATTGCCATAGATCAGTTGCATTAGTGCAAAATCCTTAAAAAAGTTGCTTTAGTCATATAAGGCCATATGTAGCCGACATCACTGCTTGATAATCTGCGTTTGCAATTGATCTAGCTATTGCGTGTTTTGCTTTTCCAAGATGTCGATTTTCTCTAATAAAAACATACTTTTCCTTTAGTAGATAATCTATCTTAAGAAGATCCTGCTTAGTTTGCATTGAAGTTTCCAATGTATTTGTTTTGCTCTTATCCTCATATAATAAGCCTTGTCCAAGTTAACTTTGCTATACCTAAGATTGTGAGTTGAAGCATTTCGTGACTGTCGCGAGGAGCTTGGAGAAATTGGCTAATAACACTGATAAAAATGAGATGTCTCGTCATGATTGTAATATAATTGAGCTTCTCAACTAATCTTTGATTATGATTAGGATTCTATAAGGCTTCCGCTGGCTAGGATGGAACTTAACATTTGATTCCATTACAGCATCAATAGGTTTGCAATTTAATGGGCTAGTGTTTTCCATAATGTTCTAATCATACCTCTTAAAATGAAAATCCTAGTGTTGAATAATGCCAATGCTTATTCATCTATTAAGATTTTTAATTTAAGGATTTCGAAGTGACTAATTAGATACTATTTAGGTTGAGTGATGCCTTCATCATTGCCTTTATGAAAATGTCATGAGTGTAAACAATCAAGAGTATGCTACTCTGATTTTTCCATTATGAGGATGTTTATAGAATATAGAGTGGTCAACTTCTGTTTGAAGCATGCCAAACTCTTGATCATTAGTGCTAAACAACCACAAATGACTAATCCTTAAAGTTAAGTGGAATCCTTCTACGAACTTTTTTATAAACCTTGTGTAAAATGCTTGCCCATAACCCAACTTATAAAGTCATTACATAGTTAAGGATTGATGATTTACCCACTCAGTGACTTTGGCACTCAACTTTCTCACAGAAGGGCCCTTGACAAAAAAAGATTACTTTGTTGTGAATGCAATTTGAACTATTGATTTACATTATTGGAAATTACTATTAGGTTTACGATGAATCGATTGCTCAATCTAGTTGGTGTTCGAGGTCGTCTAGAGTAGACTTGAAGAGGAATAGGGGATGAGCTGTAATGGGAAGAGTTGGTGCATGAAGAATCATGGAGATGACATTTTGATTTAGCTAATTTGATTGACGATGACAACGTTACCATTATTAAAAAAAATTGATTGACGATGATGTTACACATTGTATTGGAGTGAGGTGGATGAAATGGTGGCTTACATCCGGTGTCTATTGAGATAAGAATGTACCACCAAGACGTCAAGGTATGTTTTATAAAGTGGTTATACTACTATGTGGTATAGTGTTGGTTGGTCAAGAACTCAAACTTCCCAAAGATGATAGTTGAAGAAATGAAAATGTTGAGATAGATGTGTGGGCATAATAGGAGAGATACTCGAGACAAGGTGAGAGTGGCTGCTATGGTTGACAACATGAAAGAAGCAAGGGTAAGATGGTTCAGGTATGTAAAGAGATGCATAAATGCCCTAGTAAAGAGATGTGAGAGGTTGGGGTTTGTGAAGAGGTAGAGGTAGATTGAAGAAGCCTTGAGAGAGGTGATTAAACAAGAAATGACATACAACAACTTACCGAGGACATGACCCTAGATTCAGTGTTGTGGACGGCGAGAGGCGACAAAAGGCGACAAGGGCCTGCCTCGCCACGCGGCGAGGCGAGCGGCGAGGCGCTTGCCTTTTTGAATAAAGGCGCCAATTAATACCAAAAATTAAAAATATTTAATTGCATATTTTATCCAAAGTCTTAATAGCAATCAATAACACATATTAGCAAATATTCAATTCAAAAACCAATAGAATGTCTAAAACTTTAAAGACCAAACAATTCAAATTTCAAAATACAATAAACCAAAACTTTAAAAGTCTATTCTTCTTCAAAATTATCCAACTCTTGAAGATCAAAATCTTCTACATCATTATATTGCTCTTCATCTTCTTCCTCCTCGTATTCTTCATCAATTAGTGTCCGAGTCCTACTTGAAGATGAACTTAAAGATGTACTTTCTACTCCTTTGCCCTTGTCAAGTACTGTTGATCTTGAAGAAAGTCCCCTAAGATGATAGATACTCTCGTCCGCTCCAATTGCCGTAGCAACACTACCCCAAGTAAGATCATCATCCTCATATACTAGTTCATCATCTTGATCTTCGGGGCATCCAACTAACCATTCGTTGGAATCATCTATGTTATCCAAGCGAATTGGATCAATAAGATCACGAGCATCATAACCAACGACGTTTCAATGTTCTATTGTACTTAATGTACACTAGATCATTGAGACGCGATAGTGTAAGCCTATTCCTCTTTTTGGAATGAATCTGTGCATAAGTTATTGATATTAACTAGTTGATATTGATAATAATATAATATGAAAAATAAGATATAAATTTTTACTTACGTGTTCAAACACACTCCAATTTCGCTCACATCCAGATGAACTACAAGTTAGGCTTAACACTTTCATGGCAAACTTTTGCAAGTTTGGTGTTTCACTACCAAATAGTGACCACCATTCAACTATAATAAAATAAATTTAAAGGTTAGTGACTATAAGTAAGTCAAATAATATAAGTAAGAATGTAAGATCTAAATCAACCCACTTAACCGGTGACCTTGTGTCTCTAGCTCTTTTAGCCGGACCACAACCAAATAGTCCATCCGCCATTTTGTACTTAGGAAGCTCAGCGATTAGTGCATCTTGTATTGTTGTATCACGGACCAACTTCTCAACACATGCATAATACTCGGTCCACAAACTCTGTAATAAAGTTCCCTCTTCTTCAGCTTTATAATATAATCCTGGGTTCAAAACATGGCCTGCAGCATGCAAAGGCCGATGGAGTTGTTCTGACCACCTTGCATCAATAATTTGAAACACTTTCTCATAATGCTTCTGAACTCCACGAAAACCATGTACAATTAGCTTCTTTGGCTCTATCCATTGCCTCATAAATATAACCCATTGGTGGTTTTTCTCCCCATCCACCAAACGAAGCACTTTTGTCAAAGGGCTACAAACTGTAAGTGCCCGAACAGCATCATTCCAAAAGTGGATAGAAATAAGAAGATTGGCAACTTCTTTCCCCGAAGTTTCCTTTGCAAATTTGCTTGAATTTCATTCGGTTGAGAGGACTAAAGTTTTCAAGTTTTTTCTTTGAATGTACATAGCTCTCAAAGTTAAGAATGCCGTTGCAAATCTTGTCTTGGCCGGTTTCACCAAATTTCTTTCTTTGGTGAATTTTCTCATCAAGTTTAACAACAATGGCCTTTGACTAATGTAAGAATGGATTCTGATGGCCTTCTTAAAAACTGTTATAGAAAGATTAAATTAAATTAATTAGTAGCTAATGAATTATTGAGTATTGACTATAAAGAAACTTAATAAAGTTAAAGGATAGGTTGATTACCGGAAGCATATGGCTTAACCTTGAATATGTCACCAAATATCAAGTTGATGCAATGAGCGGCACATGGAGTCCAATAAATGTGTGGATACGCACCCATTATCATACTTCCCGCTTTGACATTCTCACTAGCATTATCGGTGACAATTTGTACCACATTTTCCGGTCCAATTCTTTCGATAGTGCTTTCAAATAACTTGTACATTTTGGGGGAATCGGTAGATTCATTGGTAGCATCAACCGAACCAAGAAATACACTACCGATTGGAGAATTCACCAAAATATTGATGATCATTTTGCCATTTCGTGCCGTCCATTTGTCCATCATAATGGAACAACCAAACTTTGTCCATTGCACTTTATGCTCCTCAACAATTTTTTCTACTTTATCCACCTCTTTTTTAAGGTGAGTGACTCTAACTTCATGGAATGTAGGAGGCTTCATTCCGGGGCCATGTTGTCCAACCGCCTCAATAAATTTATCGAATGATTTGTGATTGACGCAATTAAAAGGGAGCCCGGCATCATACATCCAAATTGCAAAAGCACTTACCGCACGCTCTCTTAGAATTTTCTTTGTTTCTTCGATTCCTCCTCCTTTATCTAAGCCTCCTTTTTGTGTTGATTTTTGTGAAAAATAGAGGTTCAAAGGTCCTTTCGTCACACTCCGTCCGGTGGATGAACCTCCACTAGAAGATATCCTTTGAGTTTTGGAGGGAGGCCTCATTTCCGCATAATCATCCATTTCATCAAGATCATCAATATCAACAAATTCTTCCGGTTGCCTCATTTGAAATTTGGGATTATTAGCTATTTTGTTTTGCATATAAGCCCTTATTTCTTCTCTAATTTCCGACGGACAAGCGGCACATTGTTTAACATTTTTGAAACCACCCACTAAATGTTGTTTGTGTCGCGTTATTCCACCATTGAAAGTATTTCCCACAAAAGATACAAGTGACCGAATCTTTCGTCGCTCCTTGAGTGCCATAATTCCATCCAATGTCCCTCTTTTTGCTAGCATCCGCCATTGATTATCAAATTCAATTAATTCGCTGTTTAGGAATATTGGAATAAATAATTAGGTCTAAGGAAAATAATTTTTTAAAAAAATTAACACTTACTGAGTCCTCACTGCCTGAGTCCTCACTGCTGCTTACGCAGCTTACCAAAATAAAAAAAAATGAAGAAGAAAGAACAGAAAAAATACGAACAGAAGAAGAAGAAGAACAGAGACGCGACATTACCTGAAAACAGAGAGTCGCGAGGTCGCCGGCGAGGGAGAAGAGACGCGACACGGCGACAGCGAGGGAGAGCGAGGAAGCAGAGACGCGACAGCGAGGGAGCAGCGAGGGCCGGCGAGGGACAGCGAGGGCCGGCGAGGGAGAAGAGAAGAGTCAATCGATCGATCGATCGAGAGAGAGTCGCGAGTTTCAGAAATTTTTGAAAGTAAAAAAAAACCCTAATTTTGACTAATATTATTAAGTCAAAATTTTTTTAATCAAAAAGGTGGCGCCTTTCTCTCGCCATTTCAGCGCCATTATCGCCAGAGCCTCGCCTTTTTCTCCTCGCCTCGCCTCGCCAGTGAATGGCGAGGCACCCTCGCCTCGCCTCGCCTCTCGCCTTTGGCGACGAAGCGAGCGTCTTTCACAACACTGCCCTAGATAAATGGATATAGAGGTCGAGGATCAGGGTAGAAGGTTAGTAAAAGAGTTGAACATTGTCTAGTTTTTCTTATAAGTATTATTATTATTATTATTATTACTATTATTATTATTATTATTAAGAAGCCCGACATTGATAAAGGGATGAGAATTTGGTCTCCTTGTACGTACTTGGACAAACCTCCCCTCATGAGCTAACTTTTGAAGTTGAGTTAGGCCCAGATGTCATATCTTAACATGGTATTAGAGCCAGGCCTATCCTAATTTGTTGTTCACCGTTATTGGGCCCCATTTAGAAGTGTTCATGCTCCAGTTGAGTCTGGGCATGCGGGGAGTGTTAAGAAGTCCCATATCGGTGGCATGTAATTCATCTCCTTATATGGACTTGGACAAACCTCCCTCATGAGCTAACTTTTGGGGTTGAGTTATGCCCAGGTGTCGGTCATATCTTAACAATTATTACTCTCCTGTTATCTTATTCTTTAGTTTTTCTTTATTTATTTTTTCCTTTGCCTTTTTATCATCTTATTTGTTGTTACTACTCTCTCTGATAAGATTTCAAATGAGGACATCTAGGTCAAGGTAGAGTGGCTTCAGTCGAGGACAAAATGTAGATACAAGACTGGAATGGTCTAGGCATGTTAAAAAAAGATGTCCAGATGTATTGTGGAGTTGTGAGACAATGCTTATGGATGGTTTTGTGAGAGGTAGAGATAGACCAAAGACAACTTGGGATAGGTAATAGACAAGATATGATGCCGCTTCCGCTTACTAAGGACATGGCCTTAGGTAAGAGGTTGTGGAGGACACGAATTGGGGTCGAGGGCTAGTACATAGTAGTGCGTTGTCTTGTTATCTGCCCATACTAGTAGTTGTAGTATTGCTCTTGTAATTTGTGGTCCTTTGATTTCTATTAATTTTTGTTGTCTTGTCCTTTGACTATCATATTATGTTGTGTAGTTAGTCCTGTTACCTAAGTTGCATGTACCCTTCACTTTTGATGCCGCATTCGTCTCAGATTCTTCAAAAATACACTACTTTTGGCGAATCCGACACATACCTGTTGACATTTTTAAGAGTCTGAGCAACATAGCCTGTTACTATCGGCTATTTTGTGAACTTTTTCTGCTTTGTTTTTTGGACTGCTTTGGACTTCTTTTTTGAGCCGAGGGTCTAGTGGGAACAATCTCTCTACCCAAATAGAGGTAAGGTCTGCCTACCCTCTACCTTTCCCAAACCTCACTGTGTGGGATTATACTAGGTATATTGTTGTTATTGCTACTTTCATCATGATTTTTTCACTATAGTATTTGTGAGATATATAGGAAAACAATATTATTGAATTTTGTATCTACATAATTACATAGACCCTACTTATAAACACTACATTACAATCCTTTATTAAGTAGGATATTATTTACCATTCTTATTCCTATTCCTATTACATTCGTATGCTTATTCCTATTCTATATAGGATTGTATATATCTATTCCAATTATTGACACTCCCCCTTAAGCTGGTGCATACAAGTCACATGTACCTAACTTGTTACAAATATAATTAATACAAAGACTGATGAGGAGCTTGTTGGTATATGTGCAGGTTGATCACTCGACTTCACAAAATTGACCGTCAATTTCAATGTTCTTTTTCGAAATACTAGATTTAATGTATAATGTTAGTGAATCTCAATGTGCTTGGCCTTCTTATGAAATAAATAATAGATCAGATGTAGTTCCTCCAAAAAAAAAAATTAGATTTGATGTATAATGTCGATAAAATACATTGTGATAAGTTCGTTGAGAAAACTGTTCCTGATTATAGAGTGACTTACCCAACCGACGTATAAGTGCAGTAGACTCTCCCTAAGCAACAAAATCAGGTGCTTGCTCCATATAGACTTCTTCATTGAGATCATTATGGAGAAAAATGTTCTTAGCGTCCAATTGATTAGAATGTCACAGTCTATGAAATAAAGTTATATGGGTAGGGTCAGAATAATGACACAACCCATCAGAGAAAAAGAATTTTATAAGAAGGGTCAGATTAATGGCAAGACTCTTTTGAGAAGGAGAAATTATATGTGTAGGGTCAGAATGATGACACAAACCTATGCAAGTCAGATTGATGAGTCATCGGAAAGGTGAATTGAACTACCCAAATAAATATGAGGAGTCATCAAAAAGACACACAGTACCATGCAACTCAAATGTGAGAAAGCAGTTAAAAAAAGTCCACGGTACTACAAAAATTAAATGAGAAAAGTAGTCTCCAGACATGCACGGTGCTATGCAAATCATATCAAAATAAAAGTAGTCACAGGAAATATGACACTATGCTACAAAAATTAATTATGAAAATGTAGTCATCGGAAGGATGGACGGTGCTACACATAAGATATGAGAAACTAGTCATCGGAATGATGGCACAGTTCTACACAAATAATATATGAGAAAGCAGTCACTTGAATGATGCATAGTGCTATACAAATTAATTATGAAAAAAGTAGTCACTAGAAAGATAGCATGGTGCTACACAATTATATATGAAAATAATAGTTAATGGAAAGATTGCATGATGCTTCACAAATTACATATGAAAAAAGTAGTCACCAAAAAGATAATACAGTCCTACACATATTTTAGATATATGAAAGTAGTCACGAAAAGATACACGATGACCCAACTATTGCTAATATAATCATTAGCCATACGAGTGACATATATGGGTAATGATCGCCGTCGGCAATAGGAACTCGTTGACTCTCTGCCAAGATTGTAGAGGCTCTGATACCATGTGTGAAATATAGGAGCAAAATATAATCATTAGCCATACGGGTGGCATATGTGGATGATGGCCGCTTTCCGACAATAGAAACTCTTTGGTTCTCTACCAAGATCGTAGAGGCTTTGATACCATGTGAGAAATGTAGAAAAAAATATTATTGAGTTGTATCTACATTATTATGAATATAGAGACCCTATTTGTAAACACTACAATAGAATTCTTTATCAAGTAGGATACTATTTTCTATTCCTATTCCTATGGTCATGCCTAATTCTAAATAGGATTGTTTATATTTATTCCAATTCTAACAGTATTCTTTTCTTATTACATCTTTGAAATGGTTTATTTGTCTTGAGGGCCTATCCGAACCAACCTCTCTACCTTCACAAGGTAGGGTTAAGGTTAGTGTACACACCACCCTCCGACAACACTTGTGGAATTACATTTGGTATATTGTTATTGTTTGTGAAAAGTGCGGAATGTCTCGAAAGATACTTATGTGTAACCGTTTGGGGTGGCGTAGTGGTTTGGACTAAGACTTCCATGTTGGAGGTCACAAGTTTGAAATCCCTTGCCAGCCAAAGCAAGGGGTTTGCCTTCTGGGTCGAGCTCGTTGTACCAGGGTAAAGTTTCAATTTCTCGAGACAACTTAATGATTGGGAGCTAGCTAGACTAACTGAAATTTTGAAAGCTCTTGATCATTTCAAGGGGACAGCAGATGAGGAAGAAATACAGGAGGCACAGTCTAGGCCAGTTTACAGTGTATTCAACATATACTAGACTTAATCATCCTGATCAGCAAGCTCATTTGCAGAGTTGGAAATCAGTATGGAAAGTGAAACATCAATCTAAAGTGACCTATTATGTGTAGTTAGTTGTCAGAAATGCTTGCCTAACATAAGAAATATAAAGGGAAGGGGGATGCAATTGTGTTGAAGGTGCTATCCATGTTGAAAGGAGGCAGAAAGCTATTGTCATTTGTCACTTATTTATACATTGTGTGGTTTCTAGAGTCCTCTGGAACCCTTTTTTGAGTATGAAAGGCCTGTCATGGATCATGCCTAGGACTAGAGGGGAACTGCCTTCTTGTTGGAATTTTCTGGTGGACTAATTGGACAAAATAAATGGTAGAAGATTATTCCAAGTGGACCATATGAAAGGAAAGAAACATCAGTTGTTCTGTAGGAACATCAACTCCTTACAAAAGATTAGTATGAACTGTCTTTTTTGTTTCGATTTTGGTGCAAGGAAGATTTTGACCAGGATATTGATTCACTGGTAGATATCATAGCATCCTTGTAGTAGGTGGTAGAAAATATCATGCTATTGTTGTTTTTTTGTCTATGGCTTTAGCAGTCTTTGTGCTACACTTGTACACTGCTGTTTCCGTTCTAAAAAAACTGTATATGCACAAAATGAAGTGTAAGATACCTTGTGAAGACAGAATGATATAGGTGAAGAATGTTTTTATCATGCATTTTGTCACTGTATACTAACTTTCTTGATAGAAACATCAAAGAGAGTATGAATTTCAAAAAGACTTGAATGATAAAAAATAACTACGGGCACCCCGGTGCACTAAACTCCTGCTATGCGCATAGTTCGGGGAAGGGATGGACCACAGGGTCTATTGTACACTGTATTACCCTGCATTTCTACAAGAGACTGTTTCCGCATCTCAAACCCATGACTCTTTGCCACATAACAAGAACTCTACCTTTTACAAGGTACCCCCCTTCTAAGATAGAAAATAACTAAGTTCTATTTTTTAAGAAGAAATAACTAAGTGCACCGAGAACCATTATCAACAAAGATGACGAAAAAATGTAAGCCTAAAGTAGAGCTGACATGATTTTTACCACATATATCTGAATGGACAAATTCAAATGGAGATGGAGCTCCATTGCTTGTTCTTTCCGAAAGAGGAATGATTGTGTTCCCATATTTAACAATGTCCTAATTCTTAATACTAAAAAATTTGTTTGAGAGGTATTTATTGTTAAGTCAGGGATTGTGTAACTCCTTGTTTGGTCTATTTGGACTTGGTTGTTTAAGGAATTAGTTTCACTCGACCTGATGCATGTCCTTGATTATAGATGGTATTATGTGCTTGCAGATGATTTCTTTTTAGTTGTCACCCATTAGTTTTCTTTACCAGTGTGCCTCCATTGAGTTTCTCCTTAACTATATCACGTATCCCTGCATTAATGAAGATTAGTTCTGAAAGGAATATGGTGAGTCGCCTCAAAGGAGACATCAAGCAGCTTAATTTCAAACTTGCGCAACTTCAAGTGTCTTTGGAGGAGAAAGAGACTCAGCTGCATCAGTTAAGGAGGTGACAGCTGTTACAATTTGTTCTTCCTGAAAATTTTGAAGTCTACTAATTGCATTATTTGATCTCAGTAGTTCTTTATTAGCAACGGAAGTCATTGTTGGGACTGACAGCTCATCAAATCTTCTTGCTGGTTCTGGGGAACCCACAGTTTTCGTACCAGCGTCATCTCATGTTAATTGTGTCTCTGCAAGTGCACAAGCTGGTGAAAGAGAACCTAAACACAGTGAGGATATCAAGCCTGATGATACTCAAGTTTCAACTTCTAAAATTAGTAATCACAGTGGTCAGAGTGAGAGAAGTGATGCCTTCTTCTTCTTCTTCTTATGATTCTGATTTTGAGATGAGCTATTCTGTGATGTTTCAACAGACACTGAAAATGATGCACAACGAGAAGAAGAATTCCCTGAAGTGAGAGTGGACTTCCAGGTAGACTCTTAATTAGCCTGAGTTTTCAGTTTTTCTTTCCCTAATTACTTCAGCATCTCCTGTCTTAATTTTCTGTTCATGCTCACCATAAAGTCATAGACATAAAATCTATAATTGTTCTTCCGTTAGGAACTGAGGTGGGGTTTATTGATTGTTCTGCAATAATATTTTGCAGGAGACATTCTTAGGCCACACAAGTCCAATAAGTCGTTGCCGTTTTTCTGCTACTGGGGACAATGTTGCTAGTGCTTCTGTGGATGGAACAGTCAGGTATATTCTCCTGGCTGACATGCATTCTCGTACAAATGTTTCTGAAAAATTGCTTTTTTTTTAATCTTAAAAAAAAGGTTACTGAAACATGACAAAATTTTGTGTAGTAACATATCCACAGAGTTAAAGAAAGTTGGAGTTTGAAGTATTGTGTCATTTTGATTTAATTTTGTAATAATGCATTTCTGGAAAATAATAAATAATACGTCCTTACCTCACAATTCATGCAAAGTCTATACAAAAATTTACTATACAATTTCATCCTCCATGTATACAATAATACACCATGAAGCAACAGAAGAGGAGACTTCCATTCTCAAAAAAATAGTTCTTCCTTGTTTACTCCTTATTGCAGCCATCTGGATGAAGTCCAAACTCTATGGCTCTTTGCCTTGTTCTGGTAAATCCCAAGGAGAAGTTATTGATCTGGAAAATGGTGAAATTCCGTAATTACATTGCTCGGCTGAGCTTTTCTAATGGTATCCTGCATCTGCCATGCTGTATTACTCTTTCCTGCAGCATATGTATGACTATAATAGAATCACATTCTAGTATGATGCCAGTAAAACCATTCTCTATATACCAGTCCAAGCCAAAAAGAACTGGTTTTACATCAGTTATGTTGCTACTGCCTCTTCCCAAACACAATAAAATGCTATGTTCATGAATCGTTGTCCCTAGATATCCTCCTGCACCAGATAATCCTTCCATGTTTCTGTTATCATCTGTCTTGATTTTAAACCAAGTATCAGGGGGCCTTTGTCCATTTCACAATTGCACATTCAGTTATAGGATCAAGTCCAATAATTTCTTCATAAATTCTGTTCCGACTAGAATCCATTGTACTGCTCTGCTCCTTGTCATATTTAAGTATGGAATTAAAAAGTTGATGAGTAATATAGGATATTTAAATTGATGGAACAGAGGGAGAAGGAGGATTACCTTTAGTAGGTAAGGTAAATATTACCAAACCTTCATTCTAAAAAGAAGAAGAAAAAAGAATGTGTTACCAAACAACTATGGATGTTTTCACATGAAGACTAAGTCATGTGAAAAATGATGATTCAGGAAAATATAGGGGTAGTTGATAAAGTGATCCTGTGAGGGTATCACCACCTCATATGAAACTAGTGTGTGGTAAGGAATTGTGAAGGATTAAAGAGAAGTTATTTAACTTCATTACTTTTGCACTCGTTAATAGTAGATGTCTTATTTTGGTTGGATATTTTGTGTGGTGGTACAACTCCTAAAATTCTATAACACTATAAAGCTGAATAAGATGTCAAGGAAGGAGATGAAGTATTGTGTGACTTCTCTGAACTTCTCTTTCAGAAATTGGTCAAAAGTCCCACTACATATTGAGGGGATTAATTGAACTGTTTCCTATCAAAGATCTACTGATGTAAACAGTATGGGGAGGTTGATAGATTGCTAAGGGAAACTATGGGGAGGCTAAGACTTTAACTTGTTTCATCTTCTTTCGTTTCATGACTTCTTTGTTATACAAGACCTTAGTACAGGAAGGATAATTAGGAAAGGGCATGAGTCAGATGGACATTATTATCTTAGTTTTCACAAGTCCACTACAGTTTGTTCAATCTTTGACTCTCCAGGATTAATCTACAGACGATTGGGACACCCTAGTTTATCCAAACTTCACATTATAGTACCTAGCTTATCCAAATTATCTTAGTTAGATTGCGAGTCATGTCAATTGGGGAAGCACACCCGAGTCCTAATAATCATGCAGAGTCTCTTTTTCATTTAGTTCATTTTGATACTTGGGGTCCTAGTACAATTAGTTCAACATTGAGTTTTAAGTAATTTATTACTTTCATTAATGATTACTCAAGGTGTTGCACTTGGATTTAAACCCTGCAATATAAGAAATTCCATTTTCCCATATCTATTGAAAAGTACGGTCAGATCAGCAAGAGAATTTCTCCCCTAGAGAGTGAATTTCAGAAACGGCTAAAAATAACAACGTTGAAAAATGTGCCTGAGAGCATTTTTAAACTCTTTGCTGAATACTTGCTGAATAAAGTGCCAATTCCTTCTCCATGTTAATTGACAGGGATCTTCCTAGAATAATTCAAGGTTATGATCAGTGTATCAAAGGCGAAAAGCGCAAAAAAGCTCTAAGGTCCGTGAGGGCTTTTAACGCAAACAAAGCGTGGGCTTTAATGAAAAAAGGCGCAAAGGGGAAAAGAAAATACACACACACACACACACATATATGGTCCAAGACTAATAATTATTAACATGAATGACAAATAAATGACCAAAGAAATTGGGAAAAAATTTATGATAAAGTGAATTATCAATTATTTAGTGTCACTTCTTCATACGAGGCTCATTGGCAAGGAAACATCTTCCTTAGAACCTTGATGATGACACTGAAACGCACATAAAGCAAGGCGAAGCGTTCCACACGTTTTGAACCTCGCTTCAGGGCTTAAGCACACCTTTGATAACACTTATGATTAGCCGTGGGATGAAAAAGCTGGAGGCTACAATAAAGAACTATGCAAGTATACTTGTCATTGTACTTTTTGGCTAATTTAGAGAGAGATTAATAGAATTTTCAAGGTTGAACAAAATTCTATGAGGAAATTTAAGAGCTCCATTGTTTTTCATTTGATTTTTTCTCTGGGATCAATAAGGAAATAGTATAGAAATATATGATTAGATTCTGCGGGGTTTGATGTATATCCACACTCTGTAAAGTGACACCATCTTGGTGTAATGTCATTGGAACTTTTTGACTTGCCAAAAAATTATGCGATCCTGATCTTGTATTGATATTAATGTATTCTGATGAAGGATATGGACATATGACTCATCAGCACCAACATCAAGAAATGCAACCATCTATTGTGGGGCAGAGATCATGTCACTTGAGTGGGAGTGCAAATCTGACCGACTGGTATAGACACTATCGATATAGTAGACATACATTATTAGGTTCCATGGTTCTTGTTTCTTTTTCATGTTAATTGGTATATTTGCTAGCTTCATTACTGGATTAGTCTAAAGCTTCTGGAACTAATGTTCATCTTGAGAAAAGCTTCTCATAGGCACAGCTGATGGAGGAATCAAAGCATGGAATGTCGATGCTAAACGTGTTGTTTGTGATCTTAGTTGCACAGAAGCATTCCCAAGGTTCTTCACACTCATGGGATCTACTTTCTTCTTTCTGAAAAAATGAAATACTTGGACACCGTCTTACTTGTTATTTTATCCTTCTCGTTTCATGTTTTCCCGGATACAGCGTGTTGGATTTAAAATGCAGCCCTGTGGAGCCAATTTTCGTATCTGCTGCTGCTTCGAGATGGTAACTTGTACTTCTAGCTTTCTCTTGTATTTTCTCCATGTACTTTTTGATCTAAAGCTCTATCTATTATCTTGATGTCCTGATATGTATAAGTTATAACTTAAGAATGTATAACTTTGATGTCCTACTATGGTGAAGTTGTAGCTTAGCATTTTTTGTTACAATTCCTTTGCTTTAAGCAATTTTAGAGAAATAGTTGTGAACCGAAAATTCTTATATTAATAACTAGTATGTGCAGGCTACAGTTCTCGGTATCTAGTTTTCTTTGTTTAGGTCCATCTAATTTTAATACTAATAAATAGTTCATCTTTAAGAAGTGTTGGGGTTCTTCAAATCTCACACTTATCCCTACATGGGTATACATATCCCTAACAAGATTAAAAGTATTTCCTGGGCATGCAATCATGGCTTCAATGTCCATTTTATAGGAGCCAATCATGAATTGTTGTTGTAGAAGCAGAGGAGAAAGTGAATCTCAATGCACAAGAATCATATAAATTGACCAGATTCGAAGGTTTGTCTCACGTCCTGAGCCTAGATTCTTAGTGTGGCTAGCATCTGATGGCATTGCTGGCCTAGGTTCTCAACTACATATCTAGGGATGCCACTGGGTAACAACCACAAAGAACTAAAAATATGGGATGTAATTGTGGAGAAGACTGAGAAAAAGTTAGCCACCTGGAAGACACAATACCCATCTTTGGAGGAAGAATAACAATGATCAATTCTGTCTTAGATGCTCTCCCTACTTATGTATGTCTCTTTTTCCCTTACCTGCTAAAGCGGAAGATAAATTAGATAAACTAAGGAGAGATTTTTTTTGGTTGGGAAACAAGGAAGGGAAGAGCACTCACTTGGTCAAATGAAAAATTGCTCAACTAAGCAAGAAATTGGAGGTCTTGGCATTAAGAATGTAGGTCTGCAAAATAGGGAGTTTACTGTCAAAATGGCTATGGAGGTTTGGTAAAGAGGGGTAGGGTCTGTGGAAGGATGTTATCGTTAGCAAGTATGGACAAACTGATTCATTGACCTCCAACATCGTGATCAGGGATCAAAGGTGAAGCCCAGGGATCATGTGTAAGCTTAATAATGTGAAGGTTTATGATCATGTGAATTGGAAGTTTCTTCTCAACATTTTGAAACAAATGGTGTTTGGAGAAAAATGGTTGAAGTGGATAGAATTTTGTATTAAAATTGCTAGGTTCTCTATTTTGGTGAATGGAGAACCTATTGGTTTTTTTCCCTCAGAAAGAGGACTAAGACAAGGTGATCCTTTTTCCCCTTTCCTTTTCATTTCTGAGGACTAAGACAAGGTGATCCTTTTTCCCCTTTCCTTTTCATTTTAGCTATGGAAGGTCTAAATAGTACGGTGAGGGTAGCCACTCAAAAGAACTGGCTAAAAGGTTTGAAGGTGGGCAACCAAGCTGGAGTAGATGTACAGATTTGCCATCTTCTCTATGCAGATGATACTATGATCTTTTGAGAGGCCAAGGAAGAGCAGGTTTGTTTCATCAGGATAATCCTAATAGTTCTTGAGGCAGTGTCGGGGCTTTCTGTGAATTGGAGGAAGAGTAGTATGTTCCAAGTTAAAGATGTATCTAATATTCAGTGCCTGGCAAATATTTTGAGCTGCAAAATAGAGAAATTGCCGACTACATACCTGGGGATGCCATTGGGTAACACCCACAAAGAGTTAGAGATATGGGATGGAGTAGTGGAGAAGACAAAAAAAATTAGCCACCTGGAAGACACAATATCCTTCCTTCGGAGGAAGAATTACATTGATCAATGCAGTCCTGGATGCCCTATCAACTTATGTTATGTCCCTTTTCCCCCTACTTGCGAAAGTGGAGGAGAGATTGGATAAATTGAGGAGGAAGTTCCTGTGGTTGGGTAACAAGGAAGGAAAAGGTATTCACCTGGTCAAATGGCAAATTGTACAACTTAGTAAGAAAGCTGGTGGGCTGGGTGTTAAGAACTTGGGCCTGCAAAACATGTCTTTTATCAAAATGGTTGTGGAGGTTTGGTAAAGAGGATCATCCTCTTTGGAAGGATGTTATCATCAGCAAATACGCACAGACTGAGCAATGGACAACCAACACTGTGACTAACACTTATGGTGACTCAGTTTGGAGAACCATCAGAAATTTGTGGCCTAAATTGTCCGGGAGCATAGGTTATCTATTCTGGAAAGACAAATGGATCGGCCAGAACTCCCTCATGGAGGATTTTCCATATTTATTTTCTTTCTGTGACAATCCTGAAGTTGCGGAGACCTGAACTAACCAAGGATGGAATATCATCTTTAGGAGGCTTCTAAATGACTGGGAGATTGAGAGTGTGGCCAGCCTACTGCAAAGGTTGTATGATTTCTCTAGTTTAAATTCCAGCCCTGATAGCAGTGTTGTGAAAAGCGCGCTTCAAAGCGAGGCGACCCTTATGCGCTTTTTTATCTTGAGGCGAGGGATCTGAAAAAAGCTCTCGCTTCAGATGAAGAAGCGAGAAGCGACTCTAAGGCAAAAGCGCAATAAAGCGCGCTTTTCATAAAAAAAGCGACAATTAGGGTTTTTAAAAAATTAGTTTTTTTTAAAAATAATCTGAAATATAACCTTCTCTCTCCTCACGACTATTCTTTCACGACTCTTTCCCTTCTTTCTCTCCTCGCGACTCTTCTTTCACAATACTTCTTTCCCTTCTTTCTCTCTTGACGATCTCGACTGAGGCTGCCTCTCTCTTCAACCTTGACCGCGACTGCAAGTAACTTTTTGTTCATCTCTTTTTTAGCTAATGTTTATTAGTTCATCTCTATGAGTTTCTTTTCTCCTGAAATATACAATCTTCGCCTGTTCTTCATGTCTTCATCTTTTGAGTTTCGACTACTATAGTTTTTTCTTCTTTTTCTCTTCTTTTCTTCATCTCTGCTGCCTGCTCTGTTTCTAAATACTGACTGCTGCTGCCTCTTTTTTTTTTTCAATTCTTTTGCTTTTTTTTTAAATTTTGTGATCTGTCTAGCAGCCTTGTTGAAGAATAGGAGTTTGAATCTTTGTGATTTAATTATGTTTTTGATTTTTTGCTTTATATGTTATGACTTATGAGTATTTTGGCCTATGTAATTTCTTTCAATCTAAGACTATATTACCTCTATTTAGTTATTTAATATTTTTTTATTTTTATACTAAATGTCGCTTTTTTTTAAAAAAAGCGTGCGCTTCGCTTCACGCTTCTCGCTTCTGTGAAGCAAGCCCTCGTCGCTTTTTTCAGCTTCTCGCTTCCCAAAACACTGCTTGATACAATCAGACGGAGACACGATAGGGATGGAGAATTTTCAGTTGGAAGATTGTACAAAAGAAATCTGATCTCACAACCTGGGAACATCCCTGGACCTTGGAAAAAAATATGGAAATCTAATATCCCTACCAAGATTAAGGGTTTCACATGGAAGGTATGTAGAAGAGCATATCTCACTCAGGAGGAACTGAAAAAGAGAGGTTTTGAGATTGTCTGATGATGCTTCTTTTGCAAGGAAAAGGAGGAAATAAATAGCCATTTGTTCCACCATTGTAGAGTGACTTCTCAGGTGTGGTATATGTTTCTTAATCTCATCCAAAAACCATGGGTGATGCCTGAGCATACGACAGATCTTCTAACCTGCTGGATGAGAAGAGATGGGAATAAAAAACAGAAAAATTGGTGGAGCCTAGTTCCTTCTTGCATATGGTGGTCAGTCTGGAAGGAAAGAAACAATAGATGTTTTGAGAATATTACTAATCCAATGCAGAAAGTAAAAGAAAAATGCATTTAATACTTTATATCTTTGGTGTAAAGAAGAGGGTATAGATGAGGTAGAACAACTAGTAGACTTCTTAGGCTATCTGTAATTACGATTACTTGCATTGTAATTTTTTTGATGGTTGACAACATACCCACATTGCTGAGGAATATAACTTTACCTTGCTAAAAAAAACATTGTGACCATCACCTATTGGGTCTCAGTTTTGATGTCTATCAGAAACTTATGGCCAAAACTAGCTGGTAACATATGCCACAAGGGGGGTGAGGCGACTAGGATCCTTTTTTTGGAAAAACAAGTTGGATAGGACAGAAATCCCTCATGGAGGACTTTGCAGATTTGTACTCGTTTTGTAACAACCTTGAGATGTAGTCTCAACAAGGGCGGAATATAACCTTTAGGAGGCTCTTAAATGACTGGGAAGTGGTAGAGTGGTCGAGTTACTGCAAAGGTTGGAAGATATTCCGGGACTCAACACTAATCGTGATGCAATCATATGGAAACGTGATAGCGATGAGGAATTTTCTGTTGGAAGAATGTACTAAAGAGACCTGGCAACGCATCCGGTGGCATTTTTGGACCTTGGAAACAAATCTGGAAGTCCAGCACTCCAACTAATATAGTGTTTCACATGGTCGGTGTGCAGAAAAGCATGCCTGACTCGGGAGAGATTGAAAAAATAGGATTTCAGATTGTTTGGTACTTCTTCTGCCATGAAAAGAAAGAAACAAACAACCATTAGTTCCTTCACTGAAAAGTGACGGCCCAGATATGGTATATGTTTCAAAGCCTTATCCAAGATCCTTGGGTGGTTCCTTAGTATACTTGCAGACCTACTAAGCTGTTGGATGAGAAGAGGGCGAAGTAAAACACAGGAAGGATGGTGGAATCTAGTTCCATCTTGAATATGGTGGTCTATTTGGAAGGAAAGTAACAATACATGTTTTAAGAATCTTACTAACCCAATGCAGAAAGTAAAAGAAAGCTGCATTAATACTCTATATTTTTGGTGTAAGAAGAGGGTATATATGAAGTAGATCAGTTAGTAGATTTCCTAGGCTCTTTGCAATCATGACTACTTTGCCTTGGAATTTTTTGTTTGGTTGCCAGCAGACCCTCATTGCTGATGAACACAACTTTACCGTTCTCAAAAAAGAACTCTTGAAAATCCAACCTTCCTACCCACAACAGGCTTTTTTTGTAAGACTAATGTATCAAATCCATAAAGGGAACATTGGAGAGTCAAGCGGAACTCGAAAGTCATTTTCCACCCTATGCAAAAATTATATCAAAGAGCAACATAAAACATTAAGACGACTACTTAGAAACTGGTTGTATCTCCTGTAGATGAAGTTGGAGTATTTATAGTTTTATCAATGGGAACTCTTCAAATTCTTTAGCTTGAAGCTAAAAAAGAGAAGCGGTTTAGAAATGCTTGGACTTCCACCTAGTAACTCACTGCAAGTTATTTCATTCAACTTAAATTTATTTTTATCTTCCATTACGTCTTTAAAGCACGTTTGAATACTTCAAAATTGATTATCTAATTAGTTATTGGGATATATATTTTTACATTTGTACATAAAAAAAGAGTAGAAATAGTATTTAGTGAAGGGTAAAATGGTAATCCAATTTTGAGCTTAGGAGCTTCCCACTTTTATATATACTAGTTTCTGAGGACGTGCTTCGCACGTGTGTTTCATATGAATTTTTATAGATACGTTAGAATGACTAAAATCTCATGAAAATATATATGTAAATTATAATGAATCATAAAATGTATCATTTACAAAATTCAAAGACTTACGGCAATAAAACATTCATAGAAAACTAAATTAAGAAGTCTAAAAGAGTGAAAAAAACGACAAAAAGAAATTGAATATTTAAGAAAAAATACAATATAGACATTATTCTTAGTGTCTGTTTGGCTCAGCTTAAAAGCTGGTCAAACTGACTTAAAAGTTGGTTTTTGACTTATTTAGCTGTTTGGCCATACTCAAAATAACTTGTTTTAAGTTTAAAAAAACTTATTTTAAGCCAAAAGTTAAAAGTTGTGGTAGGGGTGCTTTTTTTTTTAGCTTATAAG